CATAACACATTAAGTTTGTCTTTTTGTTTATCATGTCGAGCTTTGAACAACCTTCAAACCTGTTTCTACTACAATACGATATCAAAAGCTTAGAGTATATTTTGCTATTTGTAAACGTTCAGAGGTTATTGTTGCACAGATAAAACGTTCAGATATTATTGTTGTAGAGATAATACGTTCAGATATTATTGTTACACAGATAAAACGTTCAGATATTATTGTTGTACATATAAAACGTTCAGATATTATTGTTGCACAGACAAAAGTTCAGATATTATTGTTGTAGAGATAAAACGTTCAGATATTATTGTTGCGCAGATAAAACGTTCAGATATTATTGTTGCACAGATAAAACGTTCAGATATTATTGTTGCACAGATGAAACGTTCAGATATTATTGTTGCTAAGATAAAACGTTCAGATATTATTGTTGCTAAGATGTACCGTTCAGATATTATTGTTACACAGATAAAACGTTCAGATATTATTGTTACACATATAAAACGTTCAGATATTATTGTTGTACATATAAAACGTTCAGATATTATTGTTGCTAAGATAAAAAGTTCAGATATTGTTGTACAGATAAAACGTTCAGATATTATTGCTGTAGAGATGATACGATTATTCAACTTGCTCATTTTCGACAACCCGATGATGGTGATGACGTGGTTGCACCACGAAGTATTTACCGTGTGAGACAATTTGTCCTTTATCTTTATTTATGTTGTGGATGTAAAAGTATCGCACCGAAAACTCTCAGCAGAAGGCACGATGAAAACTCTCAGCAGAGAGCACGATGAAAACTCTCAGCAGAGGGCACGATGAAAACTGTCAGCAGAGGGCACGATGAAAACTCTCAGGAGAGGGCACGATGAAAACTCTGTGTAGAGAGCACGATGAAAACTCAGCGGAGGGCACGATGAAAACTCTCAGCAGGGGGCACGATGAAAACTCTCAGCAGAGGGCACGATGAAAGCTCTCAGCAGAGGGCACGATGAAAACTCTCAGCAGAGGGCACGATGAAAACTCTCAGCAGAGGGCACGATGAAAACTCTCTGTAGAGGGCACGATGAAAACTCTCAGCAGAGGGCACGATAAAAATATGGATGTGAATAGTACAGACGTAGAAGTGGCAGCCCTTGACATGTTGACCTCTTGACCTTTGCGTGAGTACCAATATAAGTGGTGGTATTCTTGACTATATCACCTAGCAACGCGTGCTGTTAAGCACGTGTTTTTAATGGTACATGTCGTCATGGTTACTGGCACTGTCTCCGCAGTAGAAGACAGCTACGTGCAGAGCTCCACCATGTTGTGTAAACCTACACTATAAGTATGTACCTGGCATCGTTCCTGTTAGTCTCACAGTCCGTCAATGGTTGTGTAAACCTACACTATAAGTATGTACCTGGCATCGTTCCTGTTATTCTCACAGTCCCTCAATGATTGTGTAAACCTACACCTTAAGTAAGTACCTGGCATGGCTGCTGTTAGTGTCACAGTCCCTCAGTGGTTGTGTAAACCTACATTATAAGTAAGTACCTGGCATGGCTGCTGTTAGTCTCACAGTCCCTCAACCAAACTGTTTGATCCCGTCCGTCTAGCACTGCCATTAATGCCAACGCTCTGGATGAAGCAAGTCTAGATTTCCCCAGGTATAGGGCTATCATCTACAAACAAACGAGCTCACTTCAGGGGTCAGGTTACAGAGGAGACATATCAAACTCCCTAGGGACAGAACTGTATACAAAGACTAACGATTAATCTCGTTACACGAATACGATTAAACGAATATAAATCATTTTGACAAATAAACCCATTTTAATTGAAAAGAAACCCTGTGAGATGGGAAATCCAGAACCCGAGGAAATCTAGACTTGCTTCATTTAGGACTTTACCGTCGCGGGGAGGGCTGGGCTGTAGGGGAAATCTAGACTTGCTTCATTTAGGACTTTACCGTTGCGGGGAGGGCTGGGCTGTAGGGGAAATCTAGACTTGCTTCATTTAGGACTTTACCGTTGTAGGGAGGGTTGGGCTGTAGGGGAAATCTAGACTTGCTTCATTCAGGACTTTACCGTTGTGGGGAGGGCTAGGCTGTAGGGGAAATCTAGACTTGCTTCATTTAGGACTGTACCGTTGCGGGGAGGGCTGGGCTGTAGGGGAAATCTAGACTTGCTTCATTTAGGACTTTACCGTTGCGGGGAGGGCTGGGCTGTAGGGGAAATCTAGACTTGCTTCATTTAGGACTTTACCGTTGTAGGGAGGGCTGGGCTGTAGGGGAAATCTAGACTTGCTTCATTTAGGACTTTACCGTTGTAGGGAGGGGTGGGCTGTAGGGGAAATCTAGACTTGCTTCATTTAGGACTTTACCGTCGCAGGGAGGGCTGGGCTGTATGGAAATCTAGACTTGCTTCATTTAGGACTTTACCGTTGTAGGGAGGGCTGGGCTGTAGGGGAAATCTAGACTTGCTTCATTTAGGACTTTACCGTTGTAGGGAGGGCTGGGCTGTAGGGGAAATCTAGACTTGCTTCATTTAGGACTTTACCGTTGTAGGGAGGGCTGGGCTGTAGGGGAAATCTAGACTTGCTTCATTTAGGACTTTACCGTTGCGGGGAGGGCTGGGCTGTAGGGGAAATCTAGACTTGCTTCATTCAGGACTTTACCGTTGTGGGGAGGGCTGGGCTGTAGGGGAAATCTACACTTGCTTCATTTAGGACTTTACCGTTGTAGGGAGGGGTGGGCTGTAGGGGAAATCTAGACTTGCTTCATTTAGGACTTTACCGTTGTAGGGAGGGCTGGGCTGTAGGGGAAATCTAGACTTGCTTCATTCAGGACTTTACCGTTGCGGGGAGGGCTGGGCTGTAGGGGAAATCTAGACTTGCTTCATTTAGGACTTTACCGTCGCAGGGAGGGCTGGGCTGTAGGGGAAATCTACACTTGCTTCATTTAGGACTTTACCTTTGTAGGGAGGGGTGGGCTGTAGGGGAAATCTAGACTTGCTTCATTTAGGACTTTACCGTCGCGGGGAGGGCTGGGCTGTAGGGGAAATCTAGACTTGCTTCATTTAGGACTTTACCGTCGCGGGGAGGGCTAGGCTGTAGGGGAAATCTAGACTTGCTTCATTTAGGACTTTACCGTTGCGGGGAGGGCTAGGCTGTAGGGAAAATAACATGGTTCAGGGACTGAACAGAACTGTGGTAACTTTAGCATCTGCCAACACTTAATCAACAAACACAGTGTGTGGCAGGAGGCTGGTGTGCCGAGGGTCTAGTCCTGCAACAAGTATGTGGAATGGACATACATAGTCTGTAATCAGGCAAGTCTGTTTGAAGTGACTGCATGGAGAAAGGCTCCCTGGGAATTCTATTTAGGAAATAGTCACATTCGTATAACTAGTTATCCTCACTTATAACACACGTGGCCTGAGCCCCAGAGTGACTATAATTATGACTAAGGTTTAATTGTGTAACACACGGAGTGTTGCTTTCACTGGCCCGCTACACGTTTTCAAAGAGTCACATACATGTATTTGCTGGAGATGTTACTGAGCTACGCGGCATTTACTGTTTATGATGGAATTTACATATCATAAAAGTACGAACTTTAACATTTGGAGGCAAATTCAAACTCCTGGATAATTTATTCATGTATTGGGTATTCCAGATAAAACTGCTGTTTGTCAAGCAAAGTTCCAAATCACAAAGATTTCAAAATATGAATGGAAGGGCTAGGAGTTAAGGGCAGGACTACTCTGGTTAGACACCCAGGTGAGAGGACAGAGCTGGGCAAGAGGGCCAATACATCTCCCTGTCGTTTAAACCTTTATCTGACGGTTGTAACATATGTAATTGATCAGGACCCAGCAGGTGTAGCCCCTGGGTAGTTAGTGTCTGAATCTCTCATCTGACTTGGCTCCTTCCAGTAAATGGAGCCCTGTTTCTCACAGAATATATCTTCAGTGACTAAACGTTGGGGTCTGTACGTGTTCCTATAGCTGTTTCAGAGTAGTGTGCAGTTAACTTTTCCGCCCACGCCATTTCTCCCCGTTAGCATTTAGTTGCTAAGTGTTTGGTAATACGCTCGCTGATATTAAAGGTGACAGTTTGAAGACGAACAAAGGTGCTTTTGACGACTGGAAACAAATTTGGTTGGGACCTGGCACGGCTCACGCAATCTTCTCCTGTAGGGTGGGTGATTGAATGGTGTGGGGGTTGGTGTGGATGTGAATTTATCTTCCTAGGTGGCCTTTGCACACACACACACACACACACACACACACACACACACACACACACACACACACACACACACACACACACACACACACACACACACACACACACGAACGCACACGCACGCGCACACACACACACACGAGCGCACACACACATATACGCACATCAAATATCACATGTTATCATTTTATGTCAGTTAACATCAATTTATTAAGAGTCGGTCATTTCGGATCTGAACAGTTTTCAACAATATGACATCAAGGGACAAGCAATGTATACTTCACTCACTACCTTTTTATACCCAAATGGGGATTCGAACCCGGGTGTGGCACAGCAGGTGTCTCCAGGGACTTAGCAAACCTCCTTATTCTGGCTGTGAAACTTTACTAACATCTTAATTAAAATGAAATAGAATCCTATAAAGTTTGGATGGTTTCAGCAAGTAATGAGAACACAATAATTACAACATTAATTTCACCTTGACAAACACAAATTATGAAAGCGCGCAATGTTGCAGATTTTTGTGACAAAAACTGCGTAATAAAAGACTGTTTTAATACCAAGAGCATATTTTTCAGTCTGTCATCATCAACAAACTGCATTTATTCTATACGAGAAAAAATGCTATCTTGTAACGCAAACGTGTTGCAGATATACATTTTCACATTTGGTGAGCGATTGACACCATTGAGGAAGTCGCCATGCAAGTGGGAATGCCCTTGCAGCTGGTCGCAATCGACCTTCACCCCGGTTGCAGGGTCAAAGGTTAGAGCTCTCCCCGATCTGAATGTCAGAGCTATTGTCGGTGTTCGCGCACTGTTGGTGATAGTGTTGGCTACATTTAGAGACAATTCAGTGCATCGGTACCTTCAAGCTGCTGACATGGCGACAGAAGAAGGGAGAAACGTGGTCATTGTCATAGATGACAGCGAGTTCTCGGAATATGCATTCGACTGTGAGTAGAACTAGCAGCCCTGTGCAGCAATAATTTACACATCCTAAAACATCCAGTGTCTAGTCCAGACGAACACAAACCGCAAAAACCGACAGGGCCGTTCCGCGAAATAATAATTCATAGGTTTAGCGTGCGGGGGTGGACATTTTAACTATCTGTGAATGAAAACATATTCTAGATAACATTGCACACATGTCAAATTGAGTCACCCAGTCTAGCATGAGTCTGAGGTTGTTGAACATGCACGCCGAACATTGTCACGATATCTCATTCTGGTGCACTGACTAGCTGCAGCAACAGACGCAGGGCAGAGCATCACTTGATCATACCGATACTGAGATACGGTGATTTCTTCATTTTTCATATATCGTATTCGATTTGAGAAACGTTTCCCCATCACGATCATTAATAATAACTCACGTTGCCATTTTCGACGTTCTCCTTTATTCGAGGTTATCATCACACAGGTTGAAGTGTACATTCACATAGGGACTTGCGGGCAGTGTTTCTTTCTTTCTTTGTTTCAATCAGTCATCAGAGTTCAAGATCAAAATATGTCCCCATTCCTTACATATATATCTATAGTAGTAGTAATAGTAGTATGATGGGCAGGTAAACTGATCCTGGTGATCAGGAAGGGAGACAATGCCTTACTTAGGTGAGATGTGAAGACAGGATTTCCTGGGAGTTTTGGGGCAGTTGGAGGTCTTGTTGAGACATAATTGTACTGATGTTGAAAAGATACTATGAGTCAAGTTTATTTCTGTTTGGTAAATATCATATATACTTCTCATCAAAAGTTTAGACTCACTAGTGTAAATATAGCCACTTACTTCAGGCAAGTGTTCTAAACTAAATTTTGCAAAAATATTCCATACTGTTTAGGAGTACTGTTTGCACATGAACTGATGTATTGTATAACAAATTCGTAACATTGAAAAGATTATTGTCATTAGTTCAGTAAATGATGAAAATCTTTGGAAATTGTGAATTCTTAACAAAACTTTACACCACGACGCAGCTGTTCATATGTACGATATTTGCTCATGCTTTTCAGCAGTTTGATGCATGATCCTCGTGTAATTCATCTGCATAAAGTTTGCAGTTGGTCCCCCAAATTAGTGGAGAAATCAACCTTCAGTATAATAAAATATCATTTATATACATAACATATAGTGAGTGTTTTAAGTGAGTCTTTGGCGTGAAGTATATTACGATTTAAAACTGTATAACACGAGGAAGTAACTATAATGCTTTGGTATGTTTCTAACATGAAACAAGTACTAAATAGAAAAAACTTATGCCATGAGTGTGAAAAGAACAGCTAACTAGCTTCTGTCGCTGAACTATTAGTGATGTAATTTTTATTGTGATGTCCTGGAAACTGATACTGTCAATAGCCTCCAAAGCATTGTGATGTCCCGGAAACTGATGCTGTCAATAGCCTCCAAAGCATTGTGATGTCCTGGAAACTGATACTGTCAATAGCCTCCAAAGCATTGTGATGTCCTGGAAACTGATACTGTCAATAGCCTCCAAAGCATTGTGATGTCCTGGAAACTGATACTGTCAATAGCCTCCAAAGCATTGTGATGAAATGGTACTGATATCTCTAGGGATAGAGTTTGATCTCACTCAAGGGTGGATGTCCCCCGCTGTGATATTGCTGGAATATTTCTATAAGCAGCGTAAAACCATGCTCACTCACTCACTCACTCACAGCCTGGTTCCCTGGGTCTGTTGCGCCTGCGCTAACGCTCCGACACTGACCCAGGCAACCACTGCCGAATGGCGGCCTTCACTGCAGGGAGACGCGCCATACATTTACTATAGAAAAATCCGAGAACGTGTGGTTAGAATTTTTTCATAGCATTTTCATCGATACTGTGGCAAAGTATACGTCACCAGAAAAACACCCATCGTTACTTTCAGTGTACAAACACGTTATTTAAGCAGTTTCGAAACACGAAAATCGTCGTTGCATTGGCTATATGTAAACAATTACACACACCCTATATTCATCACCGACATGTGCTTTGATATTTCGTGTCAGATAGGTATTGCCACGAAATCGTACACATAAAACATGGATCTGAACGACCACATTGATTGAATATAGTTAGCATCTTTATTTTAGCAAATTTGATGACGAAATTATCGCCGAGTATGTCCCGTGTCTTCCATCGTTTCATGGTAGGTTTAGCGGATATATTGTTTGATCGCCTTGTGAAATTACAAGGTAAAGCGTTTAGATCATATGGATGATGTTAATGACAGGATATGTCATTCTGATATTTAGCCTCTACAAAACAACTTGAAACAGTTAGCATATATACCAATATTATTCAGAAATGTTTATGATTATAATAAACATGGTGAATCAAATGATCTATATACAAAAATGCACACACATATACAGCTCAAAACAATGAATTTTATATTTTATATTACTAAATTGAATATATCAAAATACATGGTATGATCAGTATGTTAATACATCGGTATAACATATATACTGAGTCAAAAAAGAAACTTCACAAAATGTAATTTGAAAAATAATGAATAATCTTTCTCTGATGATACATCTATGTATCCGAAATGGGATCCCTATCTTTCGACTCTAGAAAAACGTTAGCAAAACCCACTCAAACCCATCCATTCGTTGTGCAAATGACGTTAGTGCCAAATCAGGTTTTGCATGTGCAGTCGATCACGTGATCTTCGCACCGAAGTTTTCTTCATATGCATGTGTTTGCATTGGCCTCAAGAATTGAAAAAACACTTTTAAACCACAGTTCTAACGGTACTTGAAATGCCACGATTGTTATGTGCAACGTGAACGTGCCGTTGGCATGTTGCAAGCGGGAAGATCAGTTATTAACGTCGCAAGAGCAATGGGATGCAGCCGTCGTACTGTGCATGACTTGCGAGGTCGTCTACAACAAACTGGCACCACTTCTAATCGCCCAAGGTCGGGTCGTCCACGTGTGACGTCACGAGCAGAAGACCGTCAAATCGTCCTACGCCACCTACGTGACAGATTTCTGCCGGCTGTTAACCAGGGCTGAGACGCTTAGAGGTCGACTGTCCTCACAGACCATTCGAAATCGGTTGCGGGCTGCCAATCTCCATTCTCGACGTCCATATCGTGGGACAATATTGACGCCGTTTCATCAACGTCAACGTCTGCTGTGGGCTCAACGTCACCTCCAATGGACCCAGAGAGACTGGAATCGAGTCGTCTTTAGCGATGAATCCAGGTTTACCCTCAGATTCGCGGACGGCGGGCATAGAGTCTGGAGACGACGTCGTGAACGGTATGCCCAATGTTGTGTACAGGAAGTCGACAAATTCAGGGGCGGAAGTTGCATGGTGTGGGGCGCTTTCTGTGGGAACAACCCTTCCCGACTTCTGGTCATCCGTGGAAACCTCACAGCTGCTGCTTACCGCGACCAGGCGCTCACCCCTGAACTTGTTCCTTTCATGGCGGCTCATGGCCCAGGTCTACAGTTCCAGCATGATAATGCTCGGCCGCATACTGCGATGTTGACACGAAATTTCCTTCAAAACGCTGGAATCAACGTCATGGACTGGCCATCGAGGTCCCCTGACCTTCATCCAATAGAGCACGTTTGGGATGCACTTGGGAGAAGGCTTCGTGGTCTTAGGAACCAACCTCAGAATTTGCAGAAACTTGGCACTGCCTTGCAAGAGCAATGGCGCAGAATCCCCAACCATGTGTTCACAAGCATCAGGCAGTCGATGAGGAGACGGTGTTTGGTAGTGATGAATGCGAGGGGCAGCCATACACGATATTGAACTGAGAAATTTCGCTTTTTTATTCATGTGACTTGACATTCTGTATACCCATGTTTTGGAACGGCGGTGTAGCCTAATGGAACTGATTATGGCACTGTCAGTGTATCGAGTACATCACACAGATCTCAGCAATGAAATAATAACAATTTAACCATCTTACCATCTCTTGTTCTTTTATAGTGCCCTGAAGAAAGAATGTGAAGTTTATTTTTTGACTCAGTATATGTGAAGAAGAACTTTTAGACAAATGAACATTCCACTATTTGTGAACTGTTGAATTAAGGGTGATTTTTACCAATGATACCTGTCATGAGAACTGTAGTTTTTATGGCTTTAAGCCAGTATCAGAGTATACATTTGCGGTACATTGATTATTTTGAGCATGATTACCCTGGTGTTATTAGAATACATCTGATACAAATCATCTGATGTAAGCAATTTTTCAGTCAGATATCAGTTAACTAGTTTGGTTAAATGCTGCTATGGACTCTTTTCTTTATTTTATTATACTTTACAGCAGTGCATGCATACATAATTCAACACACCATCAGTGATTTTGCTTTGAATTTTGGGTAATTTGCTGTGTACTTGTTGACCAGTTCACTATTGTGATTATGGTTTTTTTAATCAAAAGTTTATGGTGTGTATCTTGAACTTGTATCTTTATATAGATATTTGGTATTGTGTTAACACCTAAACTTATTTGGACTAAAGCACTAACTACTCTTGGTGCACAGAGTAAAAAGGCTGTTATGGCATTGTACAGATGTCAAAAGAAAGTTGAAAATAAACCATGTCAAGATTAATTATGATATTTAATGCTATGATTGTTCCTATAGTGTGTAATGGTGCAGAAGTATAGGGGACCTCATACTGTAAAATTATTGAAGATATACAGCATAAAATGCGTAAACGGTTTCTCAAAACAATGTTATGGTTTGGGGAGAATGTGGCAGAACCCCTCTCCAACTTGTGCACACCACAAGCCCTATAAGGTATTAGTGCAGGCTACTGTATTTGGATGAACGCAAACTGCCTCGCCAATGCCGTACCTCAAATTAAATATATTCTGTTTAGACTCATTCATATTTAGAATATTCTGATTTGAATATGTACGGTTAGCACAAGATGTGAAGATATTTATTCGCCTGATTCCTTCTATTAACAGCATTTTAAATCACTGTTAAATGTGGAAAAGAATCTTACACTCCATATCCCTGTACACCTAAGACTAGCCATGGCTCTTTTCAGTTGTAGTAGGTTTAAACTTCCAGTCGATTTTGGAAGATACACAACTTTCCCATACACTGAATGACTGTAAATATTGTATCTTTTGTTGAAGATGAGTTTCATATTCATGTATTGCTTGTAGGTGAGCATTACTCAACCATAAGAATTATGTATAGGTCTTAAACAATTATATATAAAGTCCCGCACTGTAACATTTGTTATCAGATCGATGATCATGCTGTTGATCTCTGGATTGCCTGGTCCAGACTCGATTATTTACAGGCCGCGCCATATTGCTTGAATACAGCCGAGTGCAGCCTTAAACAACAAACCAACCAACATCTTTTATCGAAATTCTTTCATCTGAAAACTTCGACAGACAGACAAGACAACTTTGATGTTGTATATTACTCATGTCTATATTTATGTTAAACAGCTAAGGGAATTGTAATAGAATGGCTTCATTGGCATGCGTGTTTCATGCAATCAAAGATAGTCTGTATTAAACTGTCTGTTTATTGTGATCGTAATACCAACAGGTTTCAAAACTGAATGTACTCCATTCCCCACCCCTCTCCAATCCCACATATAGCTACAGTGATTTTATGTAATAGGAAATGGACACATTATGAAATATTAATAGCTGTTTTTTACTAAACATGTCTTTAACGAACATGAGCCCCATCTGGGAGTATTGTGCATCAGTGTGTTTTAGACAATGCGCACTTTTCTTTTTATGAGTCGGCTCTTTCAAAACAAGCTAAAACACACACAGTTATGAATATTTCATAATGTGTCCGTTTTCCTATTATATACAAAACTGTAGCTATATATGGGTTGGGGAATGGGGTACTTTCAATGTTATATATAATGGTCCGATGTGTAATCGACTTCCCAGTAGAATCACGCAGATGTTGCCATACTATGACTATGTTTAAAGGTCACATGCAACGTAAAACACAACTTTGCAGATTCTGATACCTTTCGGTATGGACTTACCGAAACAAATCATCAAAAATGCAAATTGAACTTATAAAGGTCTAAAAATAACGCGATGAACAAAGACGCGCGAAATCGTAGTTCAAACGATTCACTAATTTTCATTTTGGGGGAATTCAAGTGGTTCCAACAGCTGGGCTGCGCTCATAGCACATACGCAGTGAAATAGTTTCGCGCAACTTGGAAGTGGGTTGTCCGGTGAATACTCCGTGAAGGCTTTGATGTGAGCTATTTTTCTAATGTTTCGTTGATATCTCACATGCGCGAGCATTTTATATGTTATGACAGTAAATTAACTGTTTATATAATTTCATTTGTCTATTTCACCACACGTTCTTCTTAACGAGTCACTTTCTCAATTCGCTACTTAAAAGCAATGTCATTATTTAGCATTGACAGAATTTCTAACTGTGATATAGATATGTCGTTGTCACAGACAAATCTCAATGTCTTGTTTTATTGACACCTGTGTATCTGCCTGCCTGTCTGCTAATGACAATGTTCAATACGCAACTGCTATCACTGACTACATGCATTTTGAACTTAACACCTATCAGGCTATACACCATAAACAAGACGCATTGATTTATGGCCCGAGTTCGGTCTCTGTCACATTATGTAATTACACAGACAGGAGAGGTGATACTTGAACACGTGACATGTTATGATGTCTGTTGATTGCAAAATGTTATATACAAACAATGAGCATGTATTTACAAAACCCAACATCTCTATATATACACACACAATGAGCCGTGAGGGCATCTGCAAATGAACCAGCCGTTAAACTTGAATGCACACCCACCCGCTCATTATGCCAAATGAAAACAAATAATAAATAGGCCATATTCTTCTAATATTATACCATTTTTGAAAGCACATACATTGATAAAAAACCATTGTTGAATGAATTATTTATGTGTTTCAAATGTATTAGAAATAATAATTAATAATAATAATTAATTATTTAATGTGGTAACAACCATTTTCTAGTTACTATTACTGGGCGTTCAGTTTATTTCCAACACACAAAACAGGAGAAATGGGGGCCACTTCATCGAATTACACGTCATCATATTTGCTAAAATATAGATGCTAGCTATATTCAATCAATGTGGTCGTTCAGATCCATGTTTTATGTGTACAATTTTGTGGCAATAGCGAGCTGACACGAAATATCAAAGCACATGTCGGTGATGAAAATAGGGTGTGTGTCATTGTTTACATATCGCCCATGTAACGATGATTTTCGTGTTTCGAAACTGCTTAAATAACGTGTTCGTACACTGAAAGTAACAATGGCCGTTGTTCTGGTGACTTATATTTTGCCATAGTATCGATGAAAATGCTGTGAAAAAAATCCAACAACCGGTTCTCGGATTTTTCTATAGTAAATGTATGGCGCGTCTCCCTGCAGTGAAGGCCGCCATTCGGCAGTGGTTGCCTGGGTCAGCGTCGGAGCTTTAGCGCAGGTGCAACAGACCCAGGGAACCAGGCTGACTCACTCAAGGGTGTCTCACATTGGGCTATACAAAACCGAATTAATTCCCATTGACTTCTATACTAATGTTGTAGTTTTTTTTAAATTAACAAAGATATCAACAGCTTTTAAAGAAGCAATAAAAATATACAATATGACCGCCTCAGCCAGCTCCTTTTCCGAGTACAGGAAGTACAGACCAACCCCAGTTCTGCACAAAATGTCAACCGCTTGAAACTGTCCTGTGATCACATTCAGTATAAGTTCAGTATATGTAAAATAAGACAGCACTAAACATTTAAGACTATGGTATATGTACTCTGAGGGGGGAGTGAGTGAGTCCGGTATACACTCCTACGACTGTGTTCATCAGGCAGACTGTTTCCTATCTGGAGATGTGTGATTGAAAATGTTTATGTCTGTACCGCCATTTTTATAAGCATGCAGGAAGAATTGAGACTTCCTCATGTTTCACTAAAGACATAAAGATTTATCACGTGACTGGTTCCCTTCTCACGTTGACCTGACCCTTGTACTGGGGATGCATCTGAGGTTGAGGTATCCAGGGAGAGTCAAGGGTTTCTTGTCATCTAAAACTGAGGGATATCAACCAATAAGGGAAATTAAGTGATAGTCAATCTCCATAACACACTTCGAGTGAAAGTAGACTGAGTGAATGAGTACGGTTTTAGCAATATTACATCAATATCAATAAAGAGCAATAAAGAGATTGATCTGGCCTAGCTAGTTCTTCCCCAACCCTTGCTCTTATATCAAAAGGGGGAGATTCTGACCTAGCTAGGCTACTTCTTCCCCCACCCTTGCTCTTATATCAAAAGGGGAAGTTTCTGGCCTAGCTAGGCTACTTCTTCCCCCACCCTTGCTCTTATATCAAAAGGGTGAGTTTCTGGCCTAGCTAGGCTACTTCTTCCCCCATCCTTCCTCTTATATCAAAAGTGGGAGTTTCTGGCCTAGCTAGGCTACCTCTTCCCCCACCCTTGCTCTTATATCAAAAGGGTGAGTTTCTGACCTAGCTAGGCTACTTCTTCCCCCACCCTTCCTCTTATATCAAAAGGGGGAGTTTCTGGCCTAGCTAGGCTACTTCTTCCCCACCCTTGCTCTTATATCAAAAGGGGGAGTTTCTGGCCTAGCTAGGCTACTTCTTCCCCACCCTTGCTCTTATATCAAAGGGGAGTTTCTGGCCTAGCTAGGCTACTTCTTCCCCACCCTTGCTCTTATATCAAAAGGGGAGTTTCTGGCCCTAGCTAGGCTACTTCTTCCCCCATCCTTGCTCTTATATCAAAAGGGGGAGTTTCTGGCCTAGCTAGGCTACTTCTTCCCCCACCCTTGCTCTTATATCAAAAGGGGGAGTTTCTGGCCTAGCTAGGCTACTTCTTCCCCCACCCTTCCTCTTATATCAAAAGGGGGAGTTTCTGGCCTAGCTAGGCTACTTCTTCCCCCACCCTTGCTCTTATATTAAAAGGGGGAGACATGTTATGTCTCTAACTGATTAACGGCGACCCCACCGCCCCGAAACTAACTAACTAACTAACTTCATAAGGTAAGAGCCTCGGCTGATTCTGAGCTATTGTTCTGAGTGACAGGATGTGAGACTCTAAGCACCCTGTATCTTGTACATTTCAGTCTATGTGCTGCAAGTGCATCGTCCCGGCGACAACATCACACTAGTCCACTGCTTGGAGTACACATCTCTCATCCATGCACGTAAGTAGCTGTCAGTGGCCAGTGTCTAACGATGTCCACTGTGTTGCAGTCTATATGGACCACACCCACCGAGGCTCGGACCACATCATACTGGTGCATGTACCAGAGTACACTCACCTGACTCAGGCCCGTGAGTACTAACCCTGCATCACCACTGGGGTGTAGCTGCTGCTGTAACAGTGTTGTAATGTTGCTGTAACTGCTACTGTAACATTGTTGTAATGTTGCTGTAACTGCTACTGTAACATTGTTGTAATGTTGCTGTAACTGCTACTGTAACATTATTGTAATGTTGCTGTAACTGCTGCTGTAACATTGTTGTAATGATGCTGTAACTGCTACTGTAACATTGTTGTAATGATGCTGTAACTGCTGCTGTAACATTGTTGTAATGATGCTGTAACTGCTACTGTAACATTATTGTAATGATGCTGTAACTGCTGCTGTAACATTGTTGTAATGATGCTGTAACTGCTACTGTAACATTGTTGTAATGATGCTGTAACTGCTGCTGTAACATTGTTGTAATGTTGCTGTAGCTGCTACTGTAACATTGTTGTAATGTTGCTGTAACTGCTACTGTAACATTGTTGTAATGTTGCTGTAACTGCTACTGTAACATTATTGTAATGTTGCTGTAACTGCTGCTGTAACATTGTTGTAATGATGCTGTAACTGCTACTGTAACATTGTTGTAATGATGCTGTAACTGCTACTGTAACATTGTTGTAATGTTGCTGTAACTGCTACTGTAACACTGTTGTAATGATGCTGTAACTGCTACTGTAACACTGTTGTAATGTTGCTGTAACTGCTACTGTAACATTGTTGTAATGTTGCTGTGACTGCTACTGTAACATTGTTATAATGTTGCTGTAACTGCTACTGTAACATTGTTGTAATGTTGCTGTAACTGCTACTGTAACATTGTTGTAATGTTACTGTAACTGCTGCTGTTGGTGTCACAGCCCTGTAACTGCTGCTGTAACATTGTTGTAACATAGCTGTAACTGCCTCTCTGCCTGCTTCACTAGTCTGAGTTCTGTGAACCTTTCTCTCTGTGTGTGTTTTCTGTGAAACGTCATTATATTTGTGTATATTGCATCTATGTGCATCTGTGTGTACTGCACCTTTTGTATTTGTATATTGAATCTGTGTATCTGTATATATTCCATCTGTCCACCTCTATAAGTGTGTATATCTGTCTATATTGCATCTGTGTATGTGTGTATATCTGTCTATATTGCATCTCTCTGTGTGTATGTCTATCCTGCATCTATGTATGTGTGTATGTGTCTATCCTGCATCTGTGTATGTGTGTATATCTGTCTATATTGCATCTGTGTATGTGTGTATATCTGTCTATATTGCATCTCTCTGTGTGTATGTGTCTATCCTGCATCTCTGTGTGTATATCCGTCTATATTGCATCTGTGTATGTGTGTATATCTGTCTATATTGCATCTCTGTATGTGTGTATATCTGTCTATATTGCATCTCTGTATGTGTGTATATCTGTCTGTATTGCATCTCTGTATGTGTGTATATCTGTCTATATTGCGTCTCTCTGTGTGTATGTGTCTATCCTGAATCTCTGTATGTATATCCGTCTATATTGCATCTGTGTATGTGTGTCTATCCTGCATCTGTGTATGTATGTATATCTGTCTATATTGCATCTCTGTATGTGTGTATATCTGTCTATATTGCATCTCTCTGTGTGTATGTGTCTATCCTGCATCTCTGTGTGTATATCCGTCTATATTGCATCTGTGTATGTGTGTATATCTGTCTATATTGCATCTCTGTATGTGTGTATATCTGTCTATATTGCATCTCTGTATGTGTGTACATCTGTCTATATTGCATCTGTGTGTGTGTGTATCCTGCATCTGTGTATGTGTGTATATCTGTCTATATTGCATCTCTGTGTGTGTGTGTCTATCTGTCTATATTGCATCTCTGTATGTGTGTATATCTGTCTATATTGCATCTCTGTATGTGTGTATATCTGTCTGTATTGCATCTCTGTATGTGTGTATATCTGTCTATATTGCGTCTCTCTGTGTGTATGTGTCTATCCTGAATCTCTGTATGTATATCCGTCTATATTGCATCTGTGTATGTGTGTCTATCCTGCATCTGTGTATGTATGTATATCTGTCTATATTGCATCTCTGTATGTGTGTATATCTGTCTATATTGCATCTCTCTGTGTGTATGTGTCTATCCTGCATCTCTGTGTGTATATCCGTCTATATTGCATCTGTGTATGTGTGTATATCTGTCTATATTGCATCTCTGTATGTGTGTATATCTGTCTATATTGCATCTCTGTATGTGTGTACATCTGTCTATATTGCATCTGTGTGTGTGTGTATCCTGCATCTGTGTATGTGTGTATATCTGTCTATATTGCATCTCTGTGTGTGTGTGTCTATCCTGCATCTCTGAATGTGTGTATATCTGTCTATATTGCATCTGTGTATGTTTATATATTTGTCTATATTGCATCTGTGTATGTGTGTATATCTGTCTATATTGCATCTCTCTGTGTGTATATCTGTCTATATTGCATCTCTCTGTGTTTGTGTCTATCCTGCATCTGTGTATGTGTGTATATCTGTCTATATTGCATCTCTGTGTGTGTGTCTATCCTGCATCTGTGTATGTGTGTATATCTGTCTATATTGCATCTGTGTATGTTTATATATCTGTCTATATTGCATCTGTGTATGTGTGTATATCTGTCTATATTGCATCTCTCTGTGTGTATATCTGTCTATATTGTATCTGTGTATGTGTGTATATCTGTCTATCCTGCATCTCTGTGTGTATATGAGTCTATATTGCATCTCTGTATGTGTGTATATCTGTCAGTGATTGTCAAAAGAATGAAAACAAGAAGACAATCACTGTGCACTTAAAAAAAAAAATTTTTTTGTAAAATATGTATACAGTCTTGGATTATCTTCTGACTTTGTGTAAAACATTGGTCCTACTTATACTTTTGTGTTATACCATGGGACAGGTTATCATTGCGAGTACTTCCAAACATTGGTCCTACTTATACTTTTGTGTTATAAAATAGGACAAGTTATTATTGTGAGTACTTCCAAACATTGGTCCTACTTATACTTTTGTGTTATACCATGGGACAAGTTATTATTGCGTGTACTTCCAACTATGACTGGAACCTGTTGACAACATATTTTACACCTGGGATTATGATGTTTGTGTGTGTGAAACCTTGGCCAACATATATTTTTGAAGAAACTGTGGACAATTAATGTTCTCCATGTGCCTCTGTTTCAATAGCAGCCTTGCTGACAGACCCGGTAGTCGTGGCAGAACTCATCAAAGAGGAAGAGGTCAAGGTCAAACACCTGGTTGAAAAATACAGTGAAAAGATGAAGAAAATCCATGTATGTCCTGCAATGTGGTCTTTCTGTTCTGGTCACTGGTATCAATACATGTATCTCCTGCAATGTCATATTTCTGTTCTGGACACTGGTATCAATACATGTATCACCTGCAATGTCGTCTTTCTGTTCTGGTCACTGGTATCAATACATGTATGTCCTGCAATGTAGACTTTCTGTTCTGGTCACTGGTAGCAATACATGTATGTCCTGCAATGTAGACTTTCTGTTCTGGTCACTGGTAGCAATATATGTATGTCCTGCAATGTCGTCTTTCTGTTCTGGACACTGGTATCAATACATGTATCTCCTGCAATGTCATCTTTCTGTTCTGGTCACTGGTATCAATACATGTATGTCCTGCAATGTAGACTTTCTGTTCTGGTCACTGGTAGCAATATATGTATGTCCTGCAATGCAGACTTTCTGTTCTGGTCACTGGTATCAATACATGTATGTCCTGCACTGTAGTCTTTCTGTTCTGGTCACTGGCATCAATACATGTATGTCTTGCAATGTCGTCTTTCTGTTTTGGTCATTAGTATCAATACATGTATGTCCTACAATGTCGTCTTTCTGTTCTGGTCTCTGGTATCAATACATGTATGTCCTGCAATGTAGTCTTTCTGTTCTGGTCACTGGTACCGATACATGTATGTCCTGCAATGTAGTCTTTCTGTTCTGGTCACTGGTATCAATACATGTATGTCCTGCAATGTCGTCTTTCTGTTCTGGACACTGGTATCAATACATATATCTCCTGCAATGTCATCTTTCTGTTCTGGTCACTGGTACCAATACTTGTATGTCCTGCAATGTGGTCTTTCTGTTCTGGTCACAGGTACCAATACATGTATGTCCTGCAATGTAGTCTTTCTGTTCTGGTCACTGGTATCAATACATGTATGTCCTGCAATGTCGTCTTTCTGTTCTGGTCACTGGTATCAATACATGTATGTCCTGCAATGTAGTCTTTCTGTTCTGGTCACTGGTACCAATACATGTATGTCCTGCAATGTAGTCTTTCTGTTCTGGTCACTGGTACCAATACTTGTATGTCTTGCAATGTCGTCTTTCTGTTCTGTCACTGGTATCAATAAGTGTATGTCCTGCAATGTAGTCTTTCTGTTCTGGTCACTGGTATCAATACATGTATGTCCTGCAATGTAGTCTTTCCGTTCTGTCACTGGTATCAATAAATGTATGTCCTGCAATGTCGTCTTTCCGTTCTGTCACTGGTATCAATAAGTGTATGTCCTGCAATGTAGTCTTTCTGTTCTGGTCACTGGTATCAAAACATGTATCTCCGGCAATATAGCCTTTCTGTTCTGGTCACTGGTATCAATACATGTATGTCCTGCAATGTCGTCTTTCTGTTCTGGACACTGGTATCAATACATATATCTCCTGCAATGTCATCTTTCTGTTCTGGACACTGGTACCAATACTTGTATGTCCTGCAATGTGGTCTTTCTGTTCTGGTCACAGGTACCAATACATGTATGTCCTGCAATGTAGTCTTTCTGTTCTGGTCACTGGTATCAATACATGTATGTCCTGCACTGTATTCTTTCTGTTCTGGTCACTGGTATCAATACAGGTATGTCCTGCAATGTAGTCTTTCTGTTCTGGTCACTGGTATCAATACAGGTATGTCCTGCAATGTAGTCTTTCTGTTCTGGTCACTGGTACCAATACTTGTATGTCTTGCAATGTCGTCTTTCTGTTCTGTCACTGGTATCAATAAATGTATGTCCTGCAATGTAGTCTTTCTGTTCTGGTCACTGGTTTCAAAACATGTATGTCCGGCAATATAGCCTTTCTGTTCTGGTCACTGGTATCAATACATGTATGTTCGGCAATATGGTCGTTCTGTTCTGGTCACAGGTATCAATATATGGATATGATTGCTTTGACCAATCCAAGGAGATTCCAGTTAGATTAAGAAACAAATCTATAAAAGGTTGAACATAACCGGTGTTCATGTGGATGTCTCTGTCCTACCACAAAGTTGAACCAAGATGTCATCAATGAGCAATTAACGGTTAACATAATGGTTTCTCAGTACAATTGAGATTCCATTTGCTTTCACACATGACATCAAGAGATCGGGATGTCATACCTGTCTCGGACAAGGTGTGATGTTTGGTGGATTATGATGTGGTTGTTTCTCCCTAACAGGTGGGCGGCAAGGTGAAGCAGATGACAGGCAAAGTTGGGGAGGCGATCATCGAGGCTGCCAAGGGAGAGAATGCTGCAATGATTGTTGTCGGAACTCGAGGCATGGGCAAGATGAGGAGGACATTTCTGGGCAGCGTCAGTGACTACTGTCTACATCACTCCCCAGTCCCGGTGCTTGTGTGCCGATATAAACCAGTGAATGAACTCAAGAAATAGGTCAACAATACCTTACATGGACAAGTGTACAAGTTCTTGTGTTTCCCAACTGAATGCGGAATAACTATATGAGGAGAGTCAATCCAAAAACTGGTCACTGACGCTACTTAGGACCGGGTGATATTTGCAGCAAGAAATAGGCACTTGACCATACCCATTAGTTGTGTGATATGAATATGTGATGTATAAAATGAGTTCTATGTTGAATCAGCAATATTTCAGCCATATCTCGACAAGACAAAGTGTGCTTTCATCCACATTTGAAGTACAACATTTAACTCATTTTTTTTCAAAACATATTTATTCATTACATTATTATCTACAAACAGAAAAAGTTGCAGCACCAAATTTAAAAGCAAGCAGTCTGTCCTCACATGACATCATTCATGATACAGACCAATCTCTTTATCCGTGAGACAGTGGGGTAGCCTAGTGGTTAATGTGTTTGCTCATCACACTTAAGACCTGGATTCAATTCGCCACATCTGAACAATGTGTGAAGCCCATTCCTGGTGTCCCTGGCCGTGATATTACTGGAATATTGCTAAAAGCAAAGTGAAACTAAACTTTATCACTCACTCACTCCTCCTTTCTAAGAAGACATTAACATCTACAGATTGTCTGTGATCTGTGTGATGTAGACACATGTTTGTCAAACCTACAGGTGGTCTGTGTGATGTAAACACATGTTTGTCACACCTACAGATGGTCTGTGGTCTGTGTGATGTAGACACATGTTTGTCACACCTACAGATTGCCTGTGATCTGTATGATGTAGACACATGTTTGTCACACCTACAGGTGGTCTGTGTGATGTAGACACGTGTTTGTCACACCTGCAGGTGGTCTGTGTGAGGTAGACACATGTTTGTCACACCTACAGATTGCCTGTGATCTGTATGATGTAGACACATGTTTGTCACACCTACAGATGGTCTCTGATCTGTGTGATGTAGACACATGTTTGGCACACCTACAGGTGGTCTGTGTGATGTAGACACGTGTTTGTCACACCTGCAGGTGGTCTGTGTGAGGTAGACACATGTTTGTCACACCTACAGATTGCCTGTGATCTGTATGATGTAGACACATGTTTGTCACACCTACAGATGGTCTGTGATCTGTGTGATGTAGACACATGTTTGGCACACCTACAGGTGGTCTGTGTGATGTAGACACGTGTTTCTCACACCTACAGGTGGTCTGTGTGATGTAGACACGTGTTTGTCACACCTGCAGGTGGTCTGTGTGAGGTAGACACATGTTTGTCACACCTACAGGTGGTCTGTGTGATGTAGACACATGTTTGTCACACCTGCAGGTGGTCTGTGTGAGGTAGACACATGTTTGTCACACCTACAGATGGTCTGTGATCTGTGTGATGTAGACACATGTTTGTCACACCTACAGATGGTCTGTGATCTGTGTGATGTAGACATGTTTGTCACACCTGCAGGTGGTCTGTGTGAGGTAGACACATGTTTGTCACACCTGCAGGTGGTCTGTGTGAGGTAGACACATGTTTGGCACACCTACAGATGGTCTGTGTGATGTAGACACATGTTTGTCACACCTACAGGTGGTCTGTGTGATGTAGACACATGTTTGTCACACCTACAGATGGTCTGTGTGATGTAGACACATGTTTGTCACACCTACAGATGGTCTGTGTGATGTAGACACATGTTTGTCACACCTACAGATGGTCTGTGTGATGTAGACACATGTTTGTCACACCTGCAGGTGGTCTGTGTGAGGTAGACACATGTTTGTCACACCTACAGATGGTCTGTGATCTGTGTGATGTAGACACGTTTGTCACACCTACAGATTGTATGTGATGTGTGTGATGTAGACACATGTTTGTCACACCTACAGATGGTCTGTGATCTGTGTGATGTAGACACATGTTTGTCACACCTACAGATGGTCTGTGTGATGTAGACACGTTTGTTACACCTACAGATTGTCTGTGATCTGTGTGATGTAGACACATGTTTGTCACACCTACAGGTGGTCTGTGTGATGTAGACACGTGTTTGTCACACCTACAGATGGTCTGTGGTCTGTGTGATGTAGACACATGTTTGTCACACCTACAGATTGCCTGTGATCTGCATGATGTAGACACATGTTTGACACCTACAGGTGGTCTGTGTGATGTAGACACGTGTTTGTCACACCTACAGGTGGTCTGTGTGAGGTAGACACATGTTTGGCAAACCTACAGATGGTCTCTGATCTTTGTGATGTAGACATGTTTGTCACACCTACAGATGGCCTGTGATCTGTATGATGTAGACACATGTTTGTCACACCTACAGGTGGTCTGTGTGATGTAGACACGTGTTTGTCACACCTACAGGTGATCTGTGTGATGTAGACACATGTTTGTCACACCTACAAATGGTCTGTGATATGTGTGATGTAGACACATGTTTGTCACACCTACAGATTGTCTGTGGTCTGTGTGATGTAGACACATGTTTGTCACACCTACAGATGGTCTGTGATCTGTGTGATGTAGACACGTTTGTCACACCTACAGATTGTATGTGATGTGTGTGATGTAGACACATGTTTGTCACACCAACAGATGGTCTGTGATATGTGTGATGTAGACACATGTTTGTCACACCTACAGATGGTCTGTGTGATGTAGACACGTTCGTCACACCTACAGATTGTATGTGATCTGTGTGATGTAGACACATGTTTGTCACACCTACAGATGGTCTGTGATCTGTATGATGTAGACTTTCATTTGTATCGTTGAGTCCCTTCTACAAACCTGAATCCTGTGAGCCCAAGATTAGCCCATTGTCAGCTCCATGCAGTGGTTTAAGACGTACCTTACTTACCAAATGGTTTCATTTATTTATAATATTTTTTTGTCTTTCTAATACTTGACGACAACATAGCCTTTTTGTGTTTCTGTAGAGGTAGCCCTTCATTTTCTCATGAATATATGGTTTTGTCCAGACAGTGGAAATGACCTTTGTTAATTTTCTTATTTTATATTTTGTTTAGAACTAGATTACAACATATTTTGTCTGGCAGCATGAGCTATGCTGCTCTGAATCTAAACCACAATTAGGACAATATTTTGTGTCTACTGGTTGTCAAATACCAAGATGTCTCTCTGGCCTGGCCTGTATATTCTGTTTACATGTACTTCATACAAACATCACTCTGCTCAGTAGAAGGCATTGCTGGTGTTGCCAAGGAATCCTTTTATGTGTGCAAACTATTGTTTCCACTGCGAGAATCTCATGTACTTAATTATACAACAAAATTGAAATATCAAAAATTAAATAGTTGGGTAAAGTTCTTTCTTGTTGACTGTTTTTGTTTTGTTTTGTTGATGTTTACTTTACTTAGCTTTTGCCTCACCCACCCGTTTGCATTAAGAATAATATATTTCGGCTAAAAAATGATGCATATCTCACTTATCCTTACGTCATAGATTGGTGGAGATCGAATCAACAATTTACTTGCAGAAAAATCTCGGTTAACTGATAAATTAAACATTTTATCAACATCTTACTTCTATACAGGCGCCGACGGGTCCAGGGGGTGCAAAACAAGACCACCCCTTCCAACTTTTTTCTTATCAAACATGAGGTCTCTTAAGAATAAACTGGACGAACTTTCGGCAGCGACTAAATATTTGTATGCATTCAGAGACCGTTGCATTCTATGTTTCACGGAGACATGGCTATCACCCTCAGTGGACAGTAACACCCTCTATTTGGAAGGATTTGGTACTCCAGTTCCTCTAGACAGAGATTCAGATGCTACAGGGAAATCTATTGGAGAAGGTGTATGTATGTATATAAACGAAAAGTGGTGTCGTCGTCAGACAACCAACCCCGGGGACAATAAGGCCTTTGCTGAGGACCTCAACACTTTCTACAGCCGCTTTGATTGTTACGATTTTACCAATGAGAGAGCTCAAGTTAGTGAAGCCGTAAAGGATAGTGAAAGTCGTCTCCATATATCAGAAGCTGACGTCATTCAAAGCTTCTCCAGAATTAACATCAGAAAAGCAAAAGGACCTGACAACCTTGACGGCATTGTGTTGAAGGAGTGCAGACTTCAGCTGTGTGCAGTTTTCATTAGATTGTTTCAATTCTCAGTGAATACACACGGTATTCCATCGGTCTGGAAAACATCAGAAATTGTACCAGTTCCTAAAAAAGACACAACCTAAAGAACTCAACGACTACAGGCCAGTTGCTCTCACATCTATAGCAATGAAGTCGCTGGAACGCATTTTGTTGGGACATCTCCGACGGGAAGTTGCCGACATACTGGACCCGCTTCAGTTCGCCTACAAGTCAAGGAGGAGTTGTTGATGCCATACTGTCACTCCTTAACTATGTCTATAAACATCTAGAGACACCTAAGTCATACATCAGGATCCTCTTCGTTGACTTTTCATCTGCGTTCAGCACCATCCAGCCACATATCATGGTACAGAAACTGTTAGACATGGGCGTTAACTCATAACTCATCTACGTTCAACACCATCCAGCCACATATCATGATACAGAAACTGTTAGACATGGGCGTTAACTCATACCTCATCTGTGTGGATCCAACACTTTCTTGTAGACAGACAGCAGTACGTGAAAGTTAACGGGGCTGTATCGAGAAAACGGACCTCTAACACTGGTGCGCCACAAGGCTGTGTAATATCTCCTGTTCTTTTCACCCTCTACACTTATGATTCTGCAAGCTCGAATTCAACCTGTCCAACTGTAAATTTCACAGATGATACAGCAATTGTCGGCAAACTGAACGACACTGATTCTGAAGATCTGTAGAAAGAGGACATTAATCATTTCACGACTTGGTGTACAGAAAACCAATTACTCTTAAATGTCACAAAAACAAAGAAACTGATAATTGACTTTCGGAGTAAGCCCACAGAAATGCTTCCAGTGATAATCAACGGTGAATGTGTTGAGACAGTGTCTGAGTATAAGTAGCTGGGA